TTTTCTTTTCTTTTCTTTTCTTTTCTTTTCTTTTCTTTTCTTTTCTTTTCTTTTCTTTTCTTTTCTTTTCTTTTCTTTTCTTTTCTTTTCTTTTCAATAAGCACCACTGTGAGAGAGGTCACTCCACATGGACTACCTTCCACAGTACTGGGGCTCTTGTTTCCTGTTTTCTCCCTGCCATGTGAAGTTTGATACAATAATGGTTTCCATTTTTAGACAATAAGTTTCGGAACTACCAGTTGGAGTTGAATCATCTGTTAATAAAGATGCATTTAGCTTGGCATCTCTGCAGCACTAGACTTCATTCTTGCCCTAATGGCTTCTCAGTCATAACTTTCCCCAGATTCTGATAATGYTAAATTTAGATCACAACAGATATTTTTTATTATATTCTCTGGCATCTTTGCATCACAACCACTGCCTTACATTAGCTGCACTGAGTATCATTCCTCTATTCTCATAGCTGTTTTTTTCAAGAGTGGTCTAACATCTAATTATGAGAGCTAGCATGTAGGAAAAAAGTATTTTTAATAGATCATTATCATGTTTATATAGCCATATTCTTAAATAGATTTCACCTCATTTCCATCACATTTTTCCTTTGAAAATTACTGGAAATCTCATCTTTTCGTATTCATTTTCATATAAGGTTACAAACAAAATATATCAGCTCTCCCATTTTAGAACAGACTGAAAAAAAAACTATTTCTGGAAAAGCAGAACAAACAAAATCATTTACAAGGCTTGAATCTTCCAACCTTAATACAAATATTAGGAAATCATTTTATATTTAATAATGTAGGAAATTTAATAAATGCACACACATTGACACCAGGAAAGCTTACAATTCACCTGATATTCTTTCCCTCTAGTGACTGTGGTGAGAATTTAAGACCTAATCAGTCACAGGTAAGAATCTAGCCTCAGGAAACAAGCAGATGACCGAAGCATTTTTACCCTGAACAGAAGAGAAATAGATTGAAAAGGTTTCAATTTGAAACCTTGGAGATAAGAGAAAATGTTTATTTATTGGTTGAGTAGGAGAGTACGAAATTCCAACAAGGTTGGTTAGATAGTTTAAAAAAAAAAAAAAAAGTAAACTGAAGATGTTTAAGGGATTAACAGAACTAACAAAGTTTGGATTTTCCTCTAGGTGTTCTAGCAAATTCAAAGCCAACTGACTMTCTTCCAGTAATGCCTTGAGATGCCATTGCTGATAACGGGGCATGCTTCCTAGCTCCCGGAAGGGTGGTGCCATCTCCTGTGCAATGTGATCTCACATCAGTGATGCCCTGACACTAGGTTACGCACCCTGCTCAACTTCATACCCTGCTTTTTTGGCACAGAAGGGCAGAAGGCCCTGTTCGCTCCTGTCTGGTTCCAAATAAGAAGACASAACTGGTTTTCATGTACACACTACATAAAGCACCTGCCTCACACATTAGACAAAGCTGATTTTATATCAAGAGCATCTGGCCCTGTTTGCTTTTTAATGATTTATATATGTAATATTTTCACAATGCTATTGCTAGACTTTCCACATGCTCTTTTATTAGCAACATCAAAGCTGATATCCTGTATGTTTCCTATAAAGGTTTTGTACAGTTCATGTTACTGGCTTTAGTTCTTGATAGTTAGCTTCCTGAGAGTAAGACAAAGCAAAAAATTATTTGAAGGCAGAAATTTAGTTATTTTTTTTAAATCTGAGTAGCTCAAAATCAAATTGAAATAAAAAAACTCAAAAAACATATCCAAATGCAATTA